GAAAGACAGAAAATTCCAGAAAATCACATCATATGAATTAATAAAAATTGAGAACCATCTGATGAGGAAAAATTAGCATTCTTTGTAAGTGGGCAAACCTGCAAAATCAGCAAGGGGTCAAATACTTATTTCCTCCACTGTATTTATCCCCGGAGAAAAGCAAGAACTGGACTATTTCCAGCTGTGTGGATCCAGCTGAGTGTACGCGCGTTATAATTATGTTTTAAAACTTAAAAAAAACTCTTCGTAAAGTGAGTTATGAATAAAACGTGAAACCTTTATTTTAAACCCAGACATCATAAATGTGGACGTGCTGAAACATGACCCCCCCCCCCTCCTGCTGTCTGTTGTGTGCTCTACAATCTTTTTTCATGAGAAAGTTACACTATAAATTGGCTTTGCCTCCTTTCATCTATAGATGGTGATTAAACTGTTTTTTAATCCACGCGTTTGAGTGTTTGCTTTCAATTTAGGAGCAGAAATAAATTTATTTATCAGCTTCTCGTTGCTTATTTTGTAGAGTGGTTAAAAAAAGAGAAGAACATCAGACAAAGAGCTTCCAGAGCTTTGGGGCCACACTAAAGGCATATTTTTAATGTTTCCCTACTTTTACTATCAGATGTTTCTTATCTGTTGCAATTGCTGCCCTGAATTAGCAAACTGGTCATAAAGAGCTGCAATCATTATGTTTTTATGATATGAGTCCACACGTGGTGGCCAATAACGCGCCGTTTTAAAGGGAAACTCACACTAAATGATGCTCAGAAGTCAGAAAATAACTTTTATAATGATAATATAACGACTCATTTAGTAATACTGATGTTTCTCAAATTAGATGCATAAAGATTTTTATTTTTTATTTTTATTACTTTCATTCATACAATCCTTAATAAACATCAACTGGTTTTTATCTGAAGTTTTAATGGGATTTCTCATTAAGCATGTCTTTGTTTTTTAATTAAAAGTTATTGAATATTTCCGTTAATCTCAAAACAACTTTTTAAACTTTAAAATACAAAAATACTTTTCCAACAAAGAGAAATTTTAAAAAATTGTATCAAATACTCATGTAAAGGGATTAACTTACTATTTTGGGTTTGTTTGTCGTTACAGTAACTTGCTTCCGGGCTTCCGTAGTTTTGACTTTTCTTCTGAACTATTGTAACCAGGTCTGTATTACAGGTATTACAGCTAATTATACTGTGTACGGTGCTGTTATATCATTAGTGGGAGACTAATGGTTGTTTACTTTAAGTGGTTCTGTCAGTCTCAGTGGTCCAAACTGCACTTTATCATTTAGGGTTTCAGTTAATAGTTGTTTTGTTAAATGTTTGGTTTGATTTTTGTTACTAACTTTGGTTGGTTGCTTCCACCCACCTTCACCTAAAACTTTTGTTTGAACAGTGTTTTTTGTTTTTGAACGGGTGCTTTTATTCATTTTGGATATCAGATTGAACGGTTCTAAACTATATGTACAGTAAACTTTCTAACCCTGAGTTCCTCACCTGTTCTTTTAGTTGGCAGGTGTACTTGGGACTTTAACGGGGAACTCCACTTATTTGGTGTTGACCATGGGGTTTTTCTCAGTTTTATCTTGGACACATATTCAAAAATTCTTAAGCCAGAGGAGATATGTAAAGTTTATGAAGTGTCTCCTGACACGTCCAAACATCCCATTAAACCTGGAATGATCCACCCACATAATTATTAACTCCTGGTGACGCAACAGTGACTTTGGCCCGTTTATTCCCAGGTGAAAGCGTCATATTCCGTTTATTCTCCTTTGGAGGCGTCAGTGCGCGCGGGGACCTGTTTTATTCTCCCCAGCGCGCGCGGGGACCTGTTTTATTCTCCTCAGTGCGCGTGGGGACCTGTTTTATTCTCCTTTGGCTCGTATATTCCGTTTATTCCCAGGTGAAAGCGTCAGTGCGCGCGGGGACCTGTTTTATTCTCCCCAGCGCGCGCGGGGACCTGTTTTATTCTCCTCAGTGCGCGCGCGGGGACCTGTTTTATTCTCCCCAGCGCGCGCGGGGACCTGTTTTATTCTCCTCAGCGCGCGTGGAGGATGCAGGAAAAGGCTCCCCCGCTGCGCCTGGAGCGCGAGGTG